AGATCCCAACAACATCTCTCAGGCAATCACTAAGCCCAGATCCCAACAACAGCTCTCAGACAATCACTAAGCCCAGATCCCAACAACAGCTTTCAGATGACCACTAAGCCCAGATCCCAACAACAGCTCTCAGACAATCACTAAGCCCTGATCCCAACAACAGCTCTCAGACAATCACTAAGCCCATATCCCAACAACAGCTCTCAGACAATCACTAAGCGCAGATCCCAACAACGGCTTTCAGACAATCACTAAACCCAGATCCCCAAAAACGGCTCTCAGACAATCACTAAACCTAGATCTCAACAACAGCTCTCAGACAATCACTAAGCCCAGATCTAAACAACAGCTTTCAGACAATCACTAAGCCCTGATCCCAACAACAGCTCTCAGACAATCACTAAGCCCAGATCCCAACAACAGCTCTCAGACAATCACTAAGCCCTGATCCCAACAACAGCTCTCAGACAATCACCAACCCCAGACCCCAAAAACGGCTCTCAGACAATCACTAAGCCCAGATCCCAACAACAGCTCTCAGACAATAACTAAGCCCTGATCCCAACAACAGCTCTCAGACAATCACTAAGCCCAGATCCCAACAACCGCTCTCAGACAATCACCAACCCCAGACCCCAAAACAACAGCTCTCAGACAATCCTTAACATCAATACCTAACAACAACTCTCAGACAATCACTACCTAGCAGTGGAACACAAGGCTTCCAAACATCAAGTCAACAATGATTTAAATTTAAAAAAAAACTGTTATGTTATGTTTATTTTATGTTTTCACATTCGATGTATTTGCAAACTAGGCATCTCTATGCGTGCTCAGTCCTCCATTGCAGCAGTCACTCCAAGGTATCTCTACTGATTGTTCCCATGAGGAGTAGGTTATAGTATCTCCTGTCTTTACCTCAAAGACAGCATAATTGTGCTTCACCAGCTGAACTCCTCAGAAACCCAGTGTGTACATCATATGACACAAGGGACCACATTCAATAACCCAGTGTGTACATCACATGACACAAGGGACCACATTCAATAACCATGTGTGTACATCATATGACACAAGGGACCACATTCAATAACCCTGTGTGTACATCACATGACACAAGGGAGAACATTCAATGACCCTGTGTGTACATCACATGAGACAAGAGACCACATTCAATAACCCTGTGTGTACATCACATGACACAAGGGACCACATTCAATAACCCTGTGTGTACATCACATGACACAAGGGAGAACATTCAATAACCATGTGTGTACATCATATGACACAAGGGAGAACATTCAATAACCATGTGTGTACATCATATGACACAAGGGAGAACATTCAATGACCCTGTGTGTACATCACATGACACAAAGGACCACATTCAATAACCCTGTGTGTACATCATATGACACAAGGGATCACATTCAATGACCCTGTGTGTACATCATATGACACAAGGGATCACATTCAATGACCCTGTGTGTACATCACATGACACAATGGAGAACATTCAATGACCCTGTTTGTACATAACATGACACAAGGGAGAACATTTAATAACCATGTGTGTACATCATATGACACAAGGGAGAACATTCAATAACCATGTGTGTACATCATATGACACAAGGGAGAACATTCAATGACCCTGTGTGTACATCACATGACACAAGGGAGAACATTCAAAAACCATGTGTGTACATCACATAACACAAGGGATCACATTCAATAACCCTGTGTGTACATTACATGACACAAGGGAGAACATTCAATAACAATGTGTGTACATCACATGACACAAGGGACCACATTCAATGACTCTGTGTGTACATCACATGACACAAGGGACCACATTCAATAACCCAGTGTGTACATCACATGACACAAGGGACCACATTCAATAACCCTGTGTGTACATCACATGACACAAGGGACCACATTCAATAACCCTGTGTGTACATCACATGACACAAGGGACCACATTCAAAAACCCAGTGTGTACATCACATGAAACAAGGGACCACATTAAAAAACCCAGTATGTAAATCACATGACACAAGGGACCACATTCAATAACCCAGTGTGTACATCACATGACACAAGGGACCACATTCAATAACCCAGTGTGTACATCACATGACACAAGGGACCACATTCAATAACCCAGTGTGTACATCACATGACACAAGGGACCACATTCAATAACCATGTGTGTACATCACATGACACAAGGGACCACATTCAATAACCCAGTGTGTACATCACATGACACAAGGGACCACATTCAATAACCATGTGTGTACATCATATGACACAAGGGATCACATTCAATAACCCTGTGTGTACATCACATGACCACACAAGGGGACCATAACATTCAATAACCATGTGTGTACATCATATGACACAAGGGAGAACATTCAATAACCATGTGTGTACATCATATGACACAAGGGATAACCCAGTGTGTACATCACATGACAAGGGAGATCACATTCATAACCAGTGTGTGTACATCACATGACACAAAGGACCACATTCAATAACCTGTGTACATCACATGACACAAGGGACCACATTCAATAACCCAGTGTGTACATCACATGACACAAGGGATCACATTCAATGACCCTGTGTGTATATCACATGACACAAGGGATCACATTCAATGACCCTGTGTGTACATTACATGACACAAGGGAGAACATTCAAAAACCCAGTGTGTACATCATATGACACAAGGGAGAACATTCAAAAACCATGTGTGTACATTACATGACATAAGGGAGAACATTCAATAACCATGTGTGTACATCATATGACACAAGGGACCACATTCAATAACCATGTGTGTACATCACATGACACAAGAGACCACATTCAATAACCCTGTGTGTACATCACATGAGACAAGAGACCACATTCAATAACCCTGTGTGTACATCACATGACACAAGGGACCACATTCAATAACCCTGTGTGTACATCACATGAGACAAGGGATCACATTCAATGACCCAGTGTGTACATCACATGAAACAAGGGACCACATTCAAAAACTCAGTGTGTACATCACATGAAACAAGGGACCACATTCAAATACTCAGTGTGTACATCACATGAAACAAGGGACCACATTCAAAAACCCAGTGTGTACATTACATGACACAAGGGATCACATTCAATAACCCAGTGTGTACATCACATGACACAAGGGACCACATTCAAAAACCATGTGTGTACATCACATGACACAAGGGATCACATTCAATAACCCTGTGTGTACATCACATGACACAAGGGATCACATTCAATAACCCTGTGTGTACATCACATGACACAAGGGAGAACATTCAATAACCATGTGTGTTCATCACATGAAACAAGGGACCACATTAAAAAACCCAGTGTGTACATCACATGAAACAAGGGACCACATTCAAAAACCCAGTGTGTACATTACATGACACAAGGGATCACATTCAATAACCCAGTGTGTACATCACATGAAACAAGGGACCACATTCAAAAACCCAGTGTGTACATCATATGACACAAGGGACCACATTCAATAACCCAGTGTGTACATCACATGACAGAAGGGACCACATTCAATAACCATGTGTGTACATCATATGACACAAGGGACCACATTCAATAAGCCAGTGTGTACATCACATGACACAAGGGACCACATTCAATAACCATGTGTGTACATCATATGACACAAGGGACCACATTCAATAACCCTGTGTGTACATCACATGACACAAGGGACCACATTCAATAACCCAGTGTGTACATCACATGACACAAGGGATCACATTCAATGACCCTGTGTGTATATCACATGACACAAGGGATCACATTCAATGACCCTGTGCGTACATTACATGACACAAGGGAGAACATTCAATAACCATGTGTGTACATCATATGACACAAGGGAGAACATTCAATAACCCTGTGTGTACATCACATGAGACAAGAGACCACATTCAATAACCATGTGTGTACATCATATGACACAAGGGACCACATTCAATAACCCTGTGTGTACATCACATGAGACAAGAGACCACATTCAATAACCCTGTGTGTACATCACATGACACAAGGGACCACATTCAATAACCATGTGTGTACATCACATGACACAAGAGATCACATTCAATAACCCTGTGTGTACATCACATGACACAAGAGACCACATTTAATGACTGTGTGTGTACATCACATGACACAAGGGACCACATTCAATAACCCTGTGTGTACATCACATGACACAAGGGACCACATTCAATAACCATGTGTGTACATCACATGACACAAGGGATCACATTCAATAACCCTGTGTGTACATCACATGACACAAGGGACCACATTCAATAACTCTGTGTGTACATCACATGACACAAGGGACCACATTCAATAACCCAGTGTGTACATCACATGACACAAGGGACCACATTCAATAACCCAGTGTGTACATCACATGACACAAGGGACCACATTCAATAACCCAGTGTGTACATCACATGACACAAGGGATCACATTCAATAACTCTGTGTGTAGATCACATGACACAAGGGATCACATTCAATGACTCTGTGTGTAGATCACATGACACAAAGGACCACATTCAAAAACCCAGTGTGTACATCACATGACACAAAGGATCACATTCAATAACCCAGTGTGTACATCACATGACACAAGGGATCACATTCAATGACTGTGTACATCATATGACTGAAGGGATCACATTCAATGACTCTGTGTGTACATCATATGACACAAGGGATCACATTCAATTACTCTGTGTGCACATCACATGACACAAGGGATCACATTCAATGACCCTGTGTGCACATCACATGACACAAGGGATCACATTCAATGACTTGTGTGTACATCAAATAGACACATGTGAGGTAAACATCAAATAGACACATGTGAGGTGTACATCAAACAGACACATGTAAGGTGAACATCAAATAGACACATGTAAGGTGACCAGTAAACAGATGATCGCAGTTAGCAGAATGCTGGTCAGGTTGAGCACGACCCTAGCATTGCCGCCACACCTGCCGTTGTGACACTGTGAGTCTTCCATGACCAAGGCCACTTCCTGTGCCACACCTGAAAGTTGAAAAAAATATATAAATTAAACAAAGAAAGAAATAATCATAGAATGCTTTATTCACAAACTTAGTGTTTATCAACATTACAGATAGTAAAGGTTCATTTTCATGCCCATGTGATACCCATGAGTTTTATTTTCTGGTACTCATTTCAGACTGAGTCAACCTGTCTGAGTCAACCTGTCTGAGTCTGAGTCAACCTGTCTGAGTCAGTTATAAAGATCTGACCAGTAAAGAGCTGAACCCAATAGAGTTAGACCAACAAGCAAGTGTGCAAGTGTGTAGTCACTGCACTGTTGCAACTGCCTACCAATAGACCAGCTGAGAAAACTCATCACACATGTCAGTGGACTACTTGAGGTCGGAGGCTGTGGGAGTTTCCTTATGAGAGGTAATGCCAGATGAAGACATCAGCAGTATGATTTGCACAACACTATTCATCCAAACACAGACAGAAAACATAAAGTAGCATAACACTCTACGGGAATACAGCATGATTAACCACTAGTATCACCCCCACATGTTACTAGGGCCATGAAGTAAAGCAAAAGTGTTTAGAGATGTCAGAAGCTTTCAGTTTAGAGACAAGAAAGAACATATCTCTGGGTTGACAGAAACAATGATGTGAATAATAAACTAGCACAGAACTGGTGTAGTCAGCTGTTACACACTTGGGAATATACTGAGGAGATCCTAGCATTTATAAACTGCTTGTATTTACAATGAGGATGACCTGTTGACTAACTAACTAATAACTGACTTGTCCTTCTTCTGTGTTCACCCTTTAACCCTGTCACCTCAAAAAGCCACATAACCAACATTTTTGGTTGGGTCCAATCTCTGTAAATGGCTTGGCTTGGCTTTTTTACCCCACCAGGACATCACACAAGCGATAAACACCCGATGACACAAAGTGCCACCATGCGGATGAGGATCACCGTGGAGAGGTCCCAGAAACCGCGTTCAGACATTTGGCCATAATGATGACCTGCCTATATTGCGGCCCCTGGCAAAAGCCAGAGTGGGGCTTCAAATAACAAAAAATAACGTCCCAAGAAGGACGTAAGGAATTAACTACTGATCTCTGTAAATGTTACTTAACTGACTTTTCTACTTGTGGTTGTGTTTGCACCTGCCCAGCTATTAGAGGTCTGATTATAACTACATTTACTAAAGATAGCATTTTTGTTTTCTGGTCAACCAAATGACTTTTTCATGTCAGGTGACATCAGATTGTTCCAGTGACAGAGGTCACAGGGTCATGATGTGAGTCACCTGATACACCTTTTTTTTTTTTTTAAAGTTTAAAAACCCTGAGAATGTATTTCATTTAATGCTTTACCTATGTTTACTGAAAATCCTTTTTATTGGGTTTTTTTATTATTTCACAACAAAATTTGAATGCAGATAAAACAAAATTTGTTAATGTATTAGTGACATGTTTAAAGTGGTTGTTTTTGTTACAGATGTTGTTTGAAATGTCTATGGGTTCATGATCCATTGACTTGTGTAAGCACAGGTGGGTTGAACAAGTTAAAGAGTGGGTGGCAAAATATGTTGTGGTTTATAGCAAACCTGCAATACCTGTGCTTCTCAGCCCTGCACATAAGATTGCAGCAAACCCCTAGTTAATCACCTTTTATGACATGCTAGTCTTGTCTTGTCCCCACTAAAACTAAAGCCCTGGATTCCAGAGGGGGTATTGACATGTGAATTCAGCAATCTACAGTGGCATGATATCCCTGAGCTTTGGGGTATCAAGCACCAGCTCTGTCAGTTCTCAGCTATATAATAATATGGGTTAGTATCACCTTAGTCTCCCCCAATAGAGTAGGTCACTTTTCATTCAAAAGTTTGTTGGGCTGGTCGACTCTCCTGAAGGTAACGGGTGTGTCCCACTCTGTTGTTTGGTTTCTGTGATGTCTTGCAATTCCGAGAAAGAGAATGCCGGTGACACAAGTTGCAGCACTGTGATCTGACTACATGTTTTTGGACTGTCAAAAGTGCTGGCATAATGAAATTTACAACCTGCGATATCAACGGCATTGCGGAACAACCCCGTAACCTTGTGCGAAGGTCGTGACACTCAGGAACTACCAATTAGAAGTGAGCTAATGTGAATATGGGTGGGATCTGGGGAGACTAACATTACTTTTATCAATAACATGTACTTCTGTGAAGTCACTAACAACAATTCTTGTGAATGTCAAGAACAAATATTTGAAATGGATGTTAATCAACAACATATGTCATGTCTGACAATGAAGTGAACACAAAGAAAGTAATAAAAGTGGTCTTAAACTTACCGGGCTCATAGTAAGCATAAATCTTTGCCGAGCCTGGCTTCTGAACCTCAAACTCCATCTGCCTCTCCATCTTGGCTTGCAGACAGTATCCCACCCCTGGAGCCTGTAGAGAACAAACAACATTTATCACTCAGGGTTCACCTGGGAAACGGCAACAGGTTAAAAATATAGGGTGGACAGGGAATGAGCTACAGGAGGCGGCAAATGATAGGATCATTTGGTGGGAAGTGGGATTGGGGGGGGGGGGGGGGGGGGGGCAAGGGAGCTATGCTGCAATAGAGTAGAATGGGCAGAAGAGAAAGTGTGCATTCCCTGGCAATCCTGGGTTCCAACCCCTTTAACTTTTCTGCCTTTCATTTCACAATGGAGAGTAGGCCCCTGAACAACTCCTACCAAACTCTTTGGGAAAAAAAAATGTTTGTTACGACAGTTTGGATTTGTACTTGAAAGTATTCTATGAGATGAGGCCAGTTATTAGTCAAGGTTGATTGTTGGCCAGCTAGCCCCCAGTCACTACTACCAGCTTTCAGCAGGATCTTTATGGCCTCACCATCCCCACACCTGAATGCTTAGCTTATTTAGACTGAAATAGTGTGTAGTGATACTCAGAATAGATATGATGTGCAGGGTTTGACTGGTTTACAGAACTGCACAATACTCTGGATTGAGAGACATGAAGTAGACGTAAGAAGCAAGTGAATCCTGCCTGGATGGCCTAAGTGTAAGGCTGGAACATTGGTTCTTGTCGCTTATGTGGTATTGTTAATAAACACAGAACTGTAATTACCCCTTGCCGACTGTCATTTGGTGATGTGTGGTTGTTGTGAAGAGAAGTCTGCCTTGTCTGATCTGTGAACCTGACCCCTAGACAACAGTCCGTGTAAACTGTGTACAAGCCAGAGCTAGTACGAATGGATAAAATATCTAGTGCTTACCTCATTCATGATGAAATGGATAAAATATTTAATGTTTACCTCATTCATGTTGAAATGGATAAAATATTTAATGTTTTCCTCATTCATGTTGAAATTTATAAAACACCTAGTGTTTACTTCATTCATGTTGAAATGGATAAAACACCTAGTGCTTACTTCATTCATGTTGAAATGGATAAAACACCTAATGTTTACTTCATTCATGTAGAAATGGATAAAACACCTAGTGTTTACTTCATTCATGTTGAAATGGATAGTAAACCTAGTGTTTACTTCATTCATGTTGAAATGGATAAAACACCTAGTGTTTACTTCATTCATGTTGAAATGGATAAAACATCTAGTGTTTACTTCATTCATGGTGAAATGAATAAAACACCTAGTGTTTACTTCATTCATGTTGAAATGGATAATACACCTAGTGTTTACTTCATTCATGTTAAAATGGATAAAACACCTAGTGTTTACTTCATTCATGTTGAAATGGATAAAACATCTAGTGTTTACTTCATTCATGTTGAAATGGATAAAACACCTAGTGTTTACTTCATTCATGTTGAAACGGATAAAATATCTAGTGCTTACCTCATTCATGTAGAAATGGATAATACACCTAGTGCTTACATCATTCATGTAGAAATGGATAATACACCTAGTGCTTACATCATTCATGTAGAAATGGATAATACACCTAGTGCTTACATCATTCACGTAGAAATGGATAATACACCTAGTGCTTACCTCATTAATGTAGAAATGGATAATACACCTAGTGCTTACCTCATTCATGTAGAAAAAGATAAAACATCTAGTGCTTACCTCATTCATGTAGAAATGGATAAGACCCTGGTTGGTCTCCACTCGGGAAGCTCTGGGGTTGTTGGAAAGGATTGTGGATGGATCGTCGAAGGCTTCCTCTCCAGACGGCAAGCTCAGGGTTGTCACAAACATGCCAGAGTATTTTAGGGAGCTGGAGCTGTTAGACAGACAAAAGATTTGTATTATTTTGGAGGGATCCATCAAACATGTTTAACATGATAGATCTTATTTTGGAGGGATCCATCAAACATGTGTACCATGATAGATCTTATTTTGGAGGGATCCATCAAACATGTGTACCATGATAGATGTTATTCTGGAGGGATCCATAAAACATGTTTAACATGATAGATGTTATTTTGGAGGGATCCATCAAACATTTGTACTATGATAGATCTTATTTTGGAGGGATCCATCAAACATTTGTACTATGATAGATCTTATTTTGGAGGGATCCATCAAACATTTGTACTATGATAGATCTTATTTTGGAGGGATCCATCAAACATGTGTACCATGATAGATGTTATTCTGGAGGGATCCATCAAACATGTGTACTATGATAGATCTTATTTTGGAGGGATCCATCAAACATGTGTACCATGATAGATGTTATTCTGGAGGGATCCATCAAACATGTGTACTATGATAGATCTTATTTTGGAGGGATCCATAAAACATTTGTACTATGATAGATCTTATTTTGGAGGGATCCATCAAACATTTGTACTATGATATATCTTATTTTGGAGGGATCCATAAAAAATTTGTACTATGATAGATCTTATTTTGGAGGGATCCATCAAACATGTGTACTATGATAGATCTTATTTTGGAGGGATCCATAAAACATTTGTACTATGATAGATCTTATTTTGGAGGGATCCATCAAACATGTGTACTATGATAGATCTTATTTTGGAGGGATCCATAAAACATTTGTACTATGATAGATTTTATTTTGGAGGGATCCAAAAAACATGTGTACCATGATAGATGTTATTCTGGAGGGATCCATAAAACATTTGTACTATGATAGATCTTATTTTGGAGGGATCCATCAAACATGTGTACTATGATAGATCTTATTTTGGAGGGATCCATAAAACATTTGTACTATGATAGATTTTATTTTGGAGGGATCCAAAAAACATGTGTACCATGATAGATGTTATTCTGGAGGGATTCATCAAACATGTGTACCATGATAGATCTTATTCTGGAGGGATCCATCAAACATGTGTACCATGATAGATGTTATTCTAGAGGGATTCATCAAACATTGATCAGGAAGACACATGAGACAAATCTAGCTCCCAACTATTACCTCTTGACGCAGACCTGGACGTTGTGGATGGTATCTGAAAGTCTGAAAGTCTTGGTCTCTACTGACACTTGTGATTCATTCACTGCCAGATCATCATCCCCAGCCAAGGTGTAATATGTGTACACCACCTGGAATACAGGTTTCAATTGTTTATACAAAAATGTGTCTGCAATCTCATATTGAATCTTCCCAAGTTTTGGCTCTCATACTAAATCACGAAATCAGTCGAATGCTTGGAATAAAGCCAGTCTTACAGGTCATCAGAGAACAACAAATGAAGTGGTTTGGACACATAATAAGAATGTCCTGGTACTATCTGCCATATCGAGCCACACTGAAATGTTACAACGGGTAAAGAGTGAACAAAAGACTTTGTAAACAATGGAGTGATGGCATTAAGAACAGCCTTACAGAAATAAACATCAATCTCAATAGTGCTCTTGACAGAGCTCATCAATGAATATTACATCTCCCTCTGATATTTCGCTGAGGTTCAAGGTGAAAGAGAAGAAGAGGAAGAAAAAGAATAAGAAGAAGGCTCTCATACTAAATGCTCAAGAGCCATGACAATCATCAAGAATCTTCCTGGTGCTTACAATGAATTTTTCTGAGTCATGACTCACAATGAATCTTTCTGAGTCATAACTTCACACTGAATTTATTCTACTGATGAGTGAATGTTTATCTATGTGGGCTAATGTTCAGTCAACAACAGAAAAGTATATGACAGTCTTGAAAAAAATGTCTGTCTGTCAATTCTGCCAGTGCACATGTGGAAAAAGGTGAACAATTTCAGTCTGCATAAGTGACCGTCCAGTCTATAGTGTTCTGTTCTGATAATATATTTATCCATACACAATGATTTTGCTAATCTCAAGAGAACACAGATCCACTTACTTTGACAATACAGGAGCCATTGGGTGGTCCCGTGACAGTGACCTCTACTGTGTTTGTATCTTCCGGAAGCTAAGCAATATATGACAGATTGGGTACAATGATTATTAACTTATTCATTTTCAGTATTTCCTCTTCTACACTGGGGTAAAGCAAACTTTTTTCTATACTGCTGCTGCTGTTGGCACCTTTCCATCTTTCCTGATGATTGTGTTATAATGTACTATGAGGATCAAAGCCCATGGCGATGGCGAGTGAGACTAGGAAGACCCGCCTGCGTCAAGAATAGTTATATACAATTATAGCATGGGATTTCAGGACTGTTGCCATTTTGTTTAGTGTTTCTTCTCAGACTCTGCTTTCAACCTTTCATCAATAATTTTTCACTTCGTTCTCATTCCCTTCCTGACATGCTGACATTTTCTTAATATTTCTCCTCTCCAAAGCATAGAGCCTGGGCAGTATTGTAGAGACCATGCATTATGGATGCATCATGATTCCCCCTCGACCTGTCTTGTTTACACCAAAGGAAAGGTAACATTAGTACTTTGGGAACTAAGCAGGCTGCAGAAGCTGTCGGATCAGAACAGCAGTGCTCTATGTTTCCACCTGTGGGATCAGAACAGCAGTGCTCTATGTTTCCACCTGTGGGATCAGAACAGCAGTGCTCTATGTTTCCACCTGTGGGATCAGAACAGCAGTGCTCTATGTTTCCACCTGTGGGATCAGAACAGCAGTGCTCTATGTTTCCACCTGTGGGATCAGAACAGCAGTGCTCTATGTTTCCGCCTGTTGGAGTTGCTAAGGGCCTGGTCATTGGAAGACTGTGTGATGATACACCTTGCTCTCCATATCCACGTGAGGGGGTTAGGAGTATGCTACCTATGTCTCTGACAGACTTTTTCCAACAGTAAGATATGTGTGATGATACACCTTGCTCTCCATATCCACGTGGGGGGTTAGGAGTATGCTACCTATGTCTCTGACAGACTTTTTCCAACAGTAAGATATGTGTGATGATACACCTTGCTCTCCACATCCACATGGCCATATCACATGGGGGGGGTATCCACATGGGGGGGGGGGGGAGTATGCTAGCTATGTCTCTGACAGACTTTTTCCAACAGTAAGATATGTGTGATGATACACCTTGCTCTCCATATCCACATGGGGGTGGGGGGGGGGGGAGTATGCTAGCTATGTCTCTGACAGACTTTTCCAACAGTAAGATATTGTGTGATGATACACCTTGCTCTCCACATCCACATGGGGGTGGGGAGTATGCTAGCTATGTCTCTGACAGACTTTTCCAACAGTAAGATATGTGTGATGATACACCTTGCTCTCCATATCCACATGGGGGTGGGGGGGGGGGGGGGAGTATGCTAGCTATGTCTCTGACAGACTTTTCCAACAGTAAGATATGTGTGATGATACACCTTGCTCTCCATATCCACATGGGGGGGGGGGGGGGGGGGGGAGTATGCTAGCTATGTCTCTGACAGACTTTTCCAACAGTAAGATATGTGTGATGATACACCTTGCTCTCCATATCTACATGGGGTGGGGGGGGGGGGAGGGGAGTATGCTAGCTATGTCTCTGACAGACTTTTCCAACAGTAAGATATGTGTGATGATACACCTTGCTCTCCATATCTACGTGGGGGGGGGGGGGGGGTGGGGGGTGGGGGGATATTGTGTGAGTATGCTAGCTATGTCTCTGACAGACTTTTCCAACAGTAAGATATGTGTGATGATACACCTTGCTCTCCATATCCACGTGGGGGGGGGGGGGGGGGGGGTGGGGAGTATGCTAGCTATGTCTCTGACAGACTTTTCCAACAGTAAGATATGTGTGATGATACACCTTGCTCTCCATATCCACATGGGGGGGGGGGGGGGGTGGGGAGTATGCTAGCTATGTCTCTGACAGACTTTTTTCCAACAGTAAGATATGTGTGATGATACACCTTGCTCTCCATATATCAACCACATGGGGGGGGGGGGGGGGGGGGGGGAGTATGCTAGCTATGTCTCTGACAGACTTTTTCCAACAGTAAGATATGTGTGATGATACACCTTGCTCTCCATATCCACATGGGGGTGGGGGGGGGGGGGGGGGGGGGGGGGGGTGGGGAGTATGCTAGCTATGTCTCTGACAGACTTTTCCAACAGTAAGATATGTGTGATGATACACACCTTGCTCTCCATATGGGGGGGGGGGGGGTGGGGAGTATGCTAGCTATGTCTCTGACAGACTTTTCCAACAGTAAGATATGTGTGATGATACACCTTGGGGGGGGGGGGGGGAGTGGGGAGTATGCTAGCTATGTCTCTGACAGACTTTTTTCCAACAGTAAGATATGTGTGATAATACACCTTGCTCTCCATATCCACATGGGGGTGGGGCGGGGGTGGGGGGGGGGTGGGGAGTATGCTAGCTATGTCTCTGACAGACTTTTCCAACAGTAAGATATGTGTGATGATACACCTTGCTCTCCATATCCACATGGGAGTATGCTACCTATGGGGTGGGGGGGGGTGGGGAGTATGCTAGCTATGCTAGCTATGTCTCTGACAGACTTTTCCAACAGTAAGATATGTGTGATGATACACCTTGCTCTCCATATCTACGTGGGGGGGGGGGGGGGGGGGGGGGGGAGTATGCTACCTATGTCTCTGACAGACTTTTTCCAACAGTAAGATATGTGTGAGGATACACCTTGCTCTCCACATCCACATGGGGGTGGGGAGTATGCTAGCTATGTCTCTGACAGACTTTTTCCAACAGTAAGATATGTGTGATGATACACCTTGCTCTCCATATCCACATGGGGGTGGGGAGTATGCTAGCTATGTCTCTGACAGACTTTTTCCAACAGTAAGATGGGGATGATACACCTTGCTCTCCATATCCACATGGGGGTGGGGGGGGGGGGAGTATGCTAGCTATGTCTCTGACAGACTTTTCCAACAGTAAGATATGTGTGATGATACACCTTGCTCTCCATATCCACATGGGGGGGGGGGGGGGGGGGGGAGTATGCTAGCTATGTCTCTGACAGACTTTTCCAACAGTAAGATATGTGTGATGATACACCTTGCTCTCCATATCCACATGGGGGGGGGGGGGGGGGAGTACCTAGCTATGTCTCTGACAGACTTTTTCCAACAGTAAGATATGTGTGATGATACACCTTGGGGGGGGGGGGGGGGGGGAGTATGCTAGCTATGTCTCTGACAGACTTTTTCCAACAGTAAGATATGTGTGATGATACACCTTGCTCTCCATATCCACGTGGGGGGGGGGGGGGGGGGGGGGAGTATGGGGCTATGTCTCTGTATGCTAGCTATGTCTCTGACTTTTCCAACAGTAAGATATGTGTGATGATACACCTTGCTCTCCATATCTACGGGGGGGGGGGGGGGGGGGAGTATGCTAGCTATGTCTCTGACAGACTTTTTCCAACAGTAAGATATGTGTGATGATACACCTTGCTCTCCATATCCACATGGGGGGGGGGGGGGGGGGGAGTATGCTAGCTATGTCTCTGACAGACTTTTCCAACAGTAAGATATGTGTGATGATACACCTTGCTCTCCATATCCACGTGGGGGGGGGGGGGTGGGGAGTATGCTAGCTATGTCTCTGACAGACTTTTCCAACAGTAAGATATGTGTGATGATACACCTTGCTCTCCATATCACATGGGGGTGGGGTGGGGACTTTCCAACAGTAAGATATGTGACTGGGGGCTTCTCCATATCTACGGGGGGGGGGGGAGTATTGCTAGCTATGTCTCTGGGTAAGATATGTACGTGGGGGGGGGGGGGGGAGTATGCTAGCTATGTCTCTGACAGACTTTTCCAACAGTAAGATATGTGTGATGACCTTGATACATATCTACGTTGTATCTCCATATCTCTGACAGACTTTCCAACAGTAAGATATGTGTGTGATGATACACCTTGCTCTCCATATCTACGTGGGGGGGGGGGGGGGGGGGAGTATGCTAGCTATGTCTCTGACAGACTTTTCCAACAGTAAGATATGTGTGATGATACACCTTGCTCTCCATATCTACGTGGGGGGGGGGGGGGTGGGGAGTATGCTAGCTATGTCTCTGACAGACTTTTCCAACAGTAAGATATGTGTGATGATACACCTTGCTCTCCACATCCACGTGGGGGGGGGGGGGGGGGGGGGTGGGGAGTATGCTAGCTATGTCTCTGACAGACTTTTCCAACAGTAAGATATGTGTGATGATACACCTTGCTCTCCACATCCACGTGAGGGGGTTAGTATGCTGCCTATGTCTCTGACAGACTTTTCCAACAGTAAGATATGTGTGATGATACACCTTGCTCTCCACATCCACGTGGGGGGTGGGGAGTATGCTAGCTATGTCTCTGACAGACTTTTTCCAACAGTAAGATATGTGTGATGATACATCTTGCTCTCCACATCCACGTGGGGGGGGGGGGGGGGGGGGAGGATGCTAGCTATGTCTCTGACAGACTTTTCCAACAGTAAGATATGTGTGATGATACACCTTGCTCTCCACATCCATGGGCATGGGGTGGGGGGGGGGGGGAGTATGCTGCCTATGTCTCTGACAGACTTTTCCAACAGTAAGATATGTGTGATGATACACCTTGCTCTCCACATCCACGTGAGGGGGTTACTATGCTGCCTATGTCTCTGACAGACTTTTCCAACAGTAAGATATGTGTGATGATACACCTTGCTCTCCACATCCATGTGGGGTGGGGGGGGGGGGGGGGTATGCTAGCTATGTCTCTGACAGACTTTTCCAACAGTAAGATATGTGTGATGATACATCTTGCTCTCCACATCCATGTGGGGGGTGGGGGGGGGGGGGGGGAGTATGCTAGCTATGTCTCTGACAGACTTTTTCCAACAGTAAGATATGTGTGATGATACATCTTGCTCTCCACATCCATGTGGGGGGGGGGGGGGGGGGGTATGCTACCTATGTCTCTGACAGACTTTCCCAACAAACAGTAAGATATGTGTGATGATACACCTTGCTCTCCACAAATATCGGGGGGGGGGGGGGGGGGGGGGGGGAGTATGCTAAATATGTCTCTGACAAACTTTTTCCAACAGTAAGATATGTGTGATGATACATCTTGCTCTCCACATCCATGTGGGGGGGGGGGGGGGGGAGTATGCTAGCTATGTCTCTGACAGACTGTTTCCAACAGTAAGATATGTGTGATGATACACCTAGTTCTCCACATCCATGTGGGGGTGGGGAGTATGCTACCTATGTCTCTGACAGCATTTTCCAACAGTAAGATATATGTGAAACAGAGATGGGGCCTTATTTCAATTTGTTTAGAACAGTCTTACGACTAATCAGTGGACGCATCAAAGATGTAAACGGCAGCGTTAAGAGGCAACAATGAAATGACTGGGACATATAGATAGAATGGCAGATGACAGTGAGGTACAAAATGTGTACACAAGGGAGTTGATTCAGAGTAGACCACGAGGCAGACCAAGAAGACAATGGATAATATACTGGTAATATACTGGTAGACATACAAACACCTGAGGTGATTAACTGGAAAGAGAAGGCAAGTCACAGAGATGAATGGAGGCCAGTGATATCTGAATCAATTAAACTCAAGGGCTCAGAAAGATAAAGAAGAAAAAAGTGCTACGCTCAGCCACAGAGATGCCCTCTATGGGTTTCTGTGGCCAAATGGTAAAGTTGCTGACTTATGTTCTGAAGGCTGAATGTTTGATATCAGACTTCATCTTTTGGTTCATGAGTGCCTGGTTTCAGAGATCCCTTGGGGTTGCTGCTGGAGCTACAGTTCTGTGCCTTGTGGCATGCTTTCAGTGGCCAAACAGCTGTTGTGTGGAGAAGGACAGGGTCATGTGGGTTACAGACCAGTGCAGTGAAGTGAATCCTCTTGGCTGCAGACTGCCCTGGTAAGGGTAAATACCTGGACCCCAGAGCTGTGTCTACCACAAAACTGGTGTTGCGTATCCTCCACCACCTGACAGCGCATGTGCCAGTTTTTCTGTCATCCCAAGAATGAGATGATGATGGTCTTTCTTATACTCTCTGGCACTTTCAGAGAACTTAACTTGATAGCCATGATGACTGCAAATATCAACAATAAAAGAGGCAGAATAGAAGTACGACATACAAGACAATCCTTGAACTGACCTCTACTGTCTGCAAAAGCATGGCCTTGGATCCTTCCAGGCTAACATTAAAAGACTGTCCACTCAGCAGCTCTCTGATACTGACCATACTAGCTGATGAAGCTCCCTTGAAGGCAGCACCAAACTCTGATAAAGCCTGTAAAGCCATAACAGTGTCCTGTGAAGAGGAGAGGCAGGCTATGTCAGTCCAGAGTTCACGTTAATAGTTTCAGCCACAGCAACTAGTTACAAATCTACATACAACAGTTATATCCATCATATAGCTGTAGCTTCAATAGTTACAATTCTACATACAACTGTTTTATTAATCATACAGCTGTAGCTTCCATAGTTACAATTCTACATACAACAGTGATATCCATCATACAGCTGTAGCTTCAATAGTTACAATTCTACATACAACAGTGATATCCATCATACAGCTGTAGCTTCAATAGTTACAATTCTACATACAACAGTTATATCCATCATATAGCTGTAGCTTCAATAGTTACAATTCTACATACAACTGTTTTATTAATCATACAGCTGTAGCTTCCATAGTTACAATTCTACATACAACTGTTTTATTAATCATACAGCTGTAGCTTTCATAGTTACAAATGTATGCACAACCGTTATACCCATCATATAGCTGTAGCTTCAATAGTTACAAATGTATGTACAACAGTTATACACATCATACAGCTGTAGCATCAATAGTTATACGTGTATGTACAACAGTTATACCCATCATACAGCTGTAGCTTCAATAGTTATACATGTATGTACAAGAGTTATACCTATCATACAGCTGTAGCTTCAATAGTTGTACATGTATGTACAAGAGTTATACCCATAATACAGCTGTAGCTTCAATAGTTATACATGTATGTACAAGAGTTATACCTATCATACAGCTGTAGCATCAATAGTTATACGTGTATGTACAAGAGTTATACCTATCATACAGCTGTAGCTTCAATAGTTGTACATGTATTTACAAGAGTTATATCTATACTACAGCTGTAGCTTTAACAGTTCCAGTCACGGTAACTAGTTACAAATCTAGGTACAAGAGTTATACCCACAATACAGCTGTAGCTTCAGTAGCTAATCTGTTCTCACCTATCAAAAGAACAACAGCTTGTGTTCTACATTTGCCAGTAGCTGAAGTTAAAGGTTTCTACATGGTTATACTATATTATTTAGAGCCAGGTGGGTCTACAAGCATAATTCTATACCAATTTAAGAGTAACAAATCTGGACTTATGAGCTGATGTCAGTCAGAACTCTTCACTGGATATCAATTATGTCAACCCACTGCCACTCAACCAATCATGTGAACCCACTGCCACTTGATCAATCAGCTGTTGTCTCCACAATGAAGGTTAGCTGCAATGGATCTCCGACATTCTCTGTTGCTCAATCCTGGCTGTTCTCCCCCTTGAATGTCTACGCCTTGCTCCCCTGCCTTCAACATTTGACTTCAGTATGGTAATTATCCAAGTGCTATGTCTCTTAGTCACTGGCACCTTTCCCTCTTTCCAGCCGATAGTGTTATACTGTGCTATGAGGAGATATGGAACTCACAAAACATGGCAATGGCGAGAGTGACTAGCTAGACCTGCCCGCATTGAGAAAATTCTATAACAATTACAGCCTGTCTCTCAATATGTCAAATATTTTACTTATCTCTTTTTAAATTTCCTTCAGCAACTCTAGTTTCATTGCCAGTCTTATTAGAACATCTGTATCTGACTGTTATTAAATCTTGCCATCATGAAGAATCAAACCCCCAGACCATATGTTAGTCAGCCAGCACACTAACCTCTATGGCAGCACATCTCAGGTAGACTTACCTGTGTGCTGTAGTATCCTCCATTGCTGTTCTGCTGAGACTGCAGCCACTTGGTGATGTCCAGCCCTTCCTGGTAGCGCCCAAGACGTGTCAATGCCAGCAAGTAGTAAGCTGCAATCTCTATGTTTCCAGACAACTGCAGTGTTGTTTCATAATCTCTGGGGCTGCTGGGAGAGCTTGTATCTGCCCATGGAGCTTGTGGATCTGGGGACAAGCAATCAGAGATTTGCATCTCATCATACTGAACTCAACCAGTTATTAGTTGTGTGGGCTTGAGAAAAACACAGAGAGTATTCTAAAATGATAGAACAATCAACCAGGCAGTCCCCCATGAGGTAGATGAAAAACATTAGTCCATTAGAGAATGGAGACACAGACTGTACTCATTGTTCTTAAAAACACATTACAAAAGGGAATAAACTGTAAAACGTTACCTGGCAGTGATGGGAGAAGACCAAGGGATGTATTTCTTGGTAAGACCAAGGGATGTATTTCTTGATGGCCTGGCCACATGGATCCAGCAGGACATCAGCCCTAACCTGACCTGTGACAGTGTGGGATGGGCTGGCCACATGGATCCAGCAGGACATCAGCCCTAACCTGACCTGTGACAGTGTGGGATGGGCTGGCCACATGGATCCAGCAGGACATCAGCCCTAACCTGACCTGTGACAGTGTGGGATGGGCTGCCATGACTATATTTGTATCGTTCGATCTGCCTACGATGTATTACTGTCCAGTGTCAACATGGTAAAGTGAAGCTAACGACCTGACATGCCCGCTATGCAGAGCTAAACAGACGCTCGAGCACGTACTGTACGCGTGCAGAAAAGCCTTAGGTCAAGGCAGGTATACTTGGCGCCACAACAAGGTGCTGAAAGAGTTAGCAGCCATTGTGGACCAAGCTAGGATGAGGGCCAGTGTGAGGGCCAGTCCTACCGTCGTCCCTGTATGCTTCCTCAAGGCTAGGCAGATTCATAAAGGTAAATTCAACAAAGTCGCATATGCTCCAACGATGCTAGACTGTGTGAGGGACTGGTTACTGGTGATTGACCTGCCTGGTCATAAAAAGTACCCTGAGTTAATCCGGAAGACTGGCCTGCGACCCGACATAGTCCTACACTCTGCAGAGAAACATCAGCTCATCCTGATTGAGCTGACCGTGCCGTATGAGTCGCGAATGAACGAAAGCCACATGTATAAGCTCGAGAAATACACTGACTTAGCGGCTGGTCTGAGGAGAGACGAAGCGTACACAGTAAGAATCTTCACTGTCGAGGTAGGCGCAAGAGGTCTCGTTTCCACTTGAATGTAATTAAACAACTAGGCTTACGAGGAAATGAACACAAACGAACACTAAAACAACTGGGCGAGGTTGCTCTCAGTGAGCTGGTCCGGGTGTCTAGTGGAAAAGAAATTGCCTGGCAGTGTCCCCCTGCCATCTGCCAACAAAGTCTAACATGTGTCCAGTAAACCATCCGTAAGCTTGCCACTTGGTCGTCCAGGTAAGCTGACTGCTCTAATTATGCTACCGCAACGACTTCATATCTCACAGTGCCTTTTGCAAAGTCACCAATTAGTCTTGTTCCTGTCCGATAACATCCGGTAATACGTGCAGCAGGAGAAACCAACCCTGAGCCTCATAAACTCAGGTGGGCCCACTCTCTGAAAATGTCTAGGAGCTCGAGGGCCGAAACATTTGTCGACGAGAGATTACTTCTACTGATAATTGGTAAACTCCTGCTGTACATGCTTCCTTGTGGAGTTTATTCTTATTATCAGTATGGCACATATTGATGATGATTTTTCTTCTTTTTCTTAAACTGAATCAAGAACAGTAATCAAGGTAGGGCTTGAGTAGAGCAATGCACTCAACTCCACCCATTCCTTCATGGTAAACAAATGTAAATGAACAATATTATAAAACCTTTAGATTAGTTGGGTATGATCAAAGACATGTTATGTTATGTTATGTTATGTTATGTTATGTTATGTTATGTTATGAACCTTAATGTTCAGATTTGTATAGGATGTCCGTATTTCTCTTCTTCTTTGACTCTGGTATTCTGAGAATCTTCCTATATTATTTCAGCTCAAAGGCTCCCGTTTTCTTACTCAATGACTGCATGATAGTTAATGACTCACATCTGTATACTGACTGATATGAGACCGAATTAATGACAGGAGATGATGAAACAACTTCAAAGCCAGTCTTTTGGATTGGAACTTGATGATGATGATGATGATGATGAGATCAAGGAACAGTATTGACACAGTCTGTGGACTGGGAATCTGATGATGATGAGATCAAGGAACAGTGGTGACACAGTCTGTGGACTGGTAATCTGATGAGGATGATGATGATGATGATAATGAGATCAAGAAACAGTGGTGACACAGTCTGTAAACTGTTAATCTGATGATGATGATGAAGATGATGATGATGATGAGATCAAGGAACAGTATTGACACAGTCTGTGGACTGGGAATCTGATGATGATGAGATCAAGGAACAGTGGTGACACAGTCTGTGGACTGGTAATCTGATGAGGATGATGAAGATGATGAGATCAAGGAACAGTGGTGACACAGTCTGTGGACTGGTAATCTGATGAGGATGATGATGATGATGATAATGAGATCAAGAAACAGTGGTGACACAGTCTGTAAACTGTTAATCTGATGATGATGATGAAGATGATGATGATGATGAGATCAAGGAACAGTATTGACACAGTCTGTGGACTGGGAATCTGATGATGATGAGATCAAGGAACAGTATTGACACAGTCTGTGGACTGGTAATCTGATGAGGATGAGATCAAGGAACAGTATTGACACAGTCTGTGGACTGGGAATCTGATGATGATGAGATCAAGGAACAGTGGTGACACAGTCTGTGGACTGGGAATCTGATGATGATGAGATCAAGGAACAGTGGTGACACAGTCTGTGGACTGGGAATCTGATGATGATGTGAGCAGTATGCAGAAACAATGAGTTAATGCATTCACTGAAGAGCTGGACCAAACTTGTTCAAACATTATTTCAACCTCTAGGTGGGCCCAGCCTTAAATGGGTAACAGATAGAGTCCTAGGAAATAAAGGTGGCAGGTGTGATGTTAATGTGGTCTGTATGATGTTGACCACATCTCCAACCAAGTGCCAACTGGTCTATAAAATACAGGTCTAGCCCTATATGCCCAATACACATCAGGGCATGAAAAATGGTCATTTACTTTTCTCCCTGATACGGGTGGACATTCTCCTATAGATTATTACTGGTACAATCACAGAACTGAGAACATTTAACCTGTGTGGTATTTACATGGCCAGGTTGAATAAAATGGGTTCACAACCTTGGCTAGGCAACAAAACTGCTCACTCACCAGTTACTACCATCAACAGTTCATCAGCCAGAGAGACCAGTTTGTTGCCAGGTACCAGGGATACAGCATATGCACCCATCGCAGCCAGAAACTTTTTTTTGTTCTTCTTCATGGAAGCTGGTTTCAAATTGTGTTGTATGTAACCCACAGCCAGCTCTATCTGTTTCTTCAGGTCCAGGAGATCTCCCTGTACAATGAGGTCATTGAAACCCAATCAGATCATCACTTGACACAGTCACTGATATAATCCCATGTGTACAACTAGTTAGTTAATTATCAATTTATTGTCAGTGTCCATGGAACAAGCTCATAGCTGCTCAGATCTCATCATCAGCATACCCATCAACATGGTGAATTAGGAATCTACATGACTGCACTTCGGGATTCTCCCTGAGGTGCTTTGTCCCCATCTTCAGCAGTAAGCAAAAGAGTTCCAATTCCGATGGCACCAGTAACTGTCTGATTGTATATTCATCTTGCCTGTCCCCTGAGTGTTGAGCGTCGGCAGATCTCCTGGTAAGTCCCTGCAGCACCATTCTCCTCAGACCATAATGATCTGTCTGTACCTCTGCACTGCTCACTCTCTCCCTAAGGGCCCTCACAACATCTAGCTTGTCATACACCAATTTACACTAAGTGATGCAGTCTATCTGTTGGCTCATTTCCCAACACATCGACATGACCTGGAGAAAATATCAAAAGGACTCTAATTACCCAGGACCTCTGAAGCAATGCTTGCCACTCTGCATGGAGCATGCCTGTCTCCACCTTTCTCAACACACTCTGTGAGCCAGTGACAATGACGACATGTGTGTACAGCGATTCTCAATACACTCTGTGAGCCAGTGACAATGACGACATGTGTGTACAGCGATTCTCAATACACTCTGTGAGCCAGTGACAATGACGACATGTGTGTGTACAGCGATTTCTCAATACACTCTGTGAGCCAGTGACAATGACGACATGTGTGTACAGCGATTCTCAATACACTCTGTGAGCCAGTGACAATGACGACATGTGTGTACAGCGATTCTCAATACACTCTGTGAGCCAGTGACAATGACGACATGTGTGTACAGCGATTCTCAATACACTCTGTGAGCCAGTGACAATGACGACATGTGTGTACAGCGATTCTCAATACACTCTGTGAGCCAGTGACAATGACGACATGTGTGTACAGCGATTCTCAATACACTCTGTGAGCCAGTGACAATGACGACATGTGTGTACAGCGATTCTCAATACAGCTGAAGGCAGTAGTGACTGTCTCCATCTCCATTCTTAGACTATATGTTGTGATATCCTATGCCAGGCTTTGTTGCACTTAGCGACGTCCATTCCCCTTTGCTATGAACCATCATGCATTCGTCTACCTCTCAACACAGAGCCATCAGTATAGAGAGTCACATCACCTGGGCGGGAGTTGTCATGAATCATCTGATGAACTTCTGATTCTGCAGCACCAGCTGACAAGTCCCTGCAGCACCAGCTGACCAGTCCCTGCAGCACCAGCTGACCAGTCCCTGCAGCACCAACTGACCAGTCCCTGCAGCACCAGCTGACCAGTCCCTGCAGCACCAGCTGACCAGTCCCTGCAGCACCAGCTGACCAGTCCCTGCAGCACCAGCTGACCAGTCCCTGCAGCACCAGCTGACCAGTCCCTGCAGCACCAGCTGACCAGTCCCTGCAGCACCAGCTGACCAGTCCCTGCAGCACCAGCTGACCAGTCCCTGCACTCACGTCCTAAAGTGATAAGAATCCTACACAAGTCTGATTGTTGCTGGGACACTTTGACCCACCCCTCTCCTCGTCCAAATGTATCAAGTCTGCACACATGTCTAATTGTGTCTTCAGCTTGCGCTATCAAAGACTTTCCTCTTTTCAGTCTGTGACCTAGGGCTTCATGCAGGAGGTGCTTCATGTCTGCAGCTACTTTAAGATATGACTTTGCTTGCAGAACTTTGAGCCTGACTGCAATAGTAGGCAGTGCAAATTTAGTCTCATTCTGTATGCGTTCAAGTTTCAACAGCTGACTCTTTGATATGGTTAGCATTCCAAGTCCATAATTTATCACCAACAGGATCACATGCTGGGACACTGTGGACAGCATACTTTGTTCCATGTCCATTGCTGTCATCATCTTGGGAGCATTGAGTCCTGTTTGGCATTTTACTGCAACTGATTATACAAGATCACTGAACGACAGGCTTTTATGAAAAATGATACCCAGATACCTGAGTTTGCTTCCCCTTGTGATGTTTCAGTCATTAATTTTGAGGCTTGGAACATAAGCTCTTACAGTTCTATTGTCCAGTGAGCAGCATAAAACAGAAGCCTTTTCTGAGTTGATGACAGCACCCATCTCTGCACACCAGTCGGTCACTTTGGCTACAGTTGTAGACAAGCCCAAACCTACCCTTAGTTGCCTCATACGACATGCCTGGTAGGGTACAGTGTTACTACTCTTTACCTCCCATGAGGGTCTCGGTCACATAGTGATGCATGCACTCTTCACCAAGAATGATCTTCTGTAACATACACACATGCTGAGCAACATCCTTTCCCTGACAAAACGAAGACCTTCAGTTATTAGTCTGGTACCTTCAGCCTTGTGTCACTGCTCAAGCAACACATGCTGTTTCTTAGAACAATCGTTGACCATTTCTAGATATGTTCTCTGCTATGGAGGAGCCGCTGGCCGAGCAGTTGAGAAAACTGGGCTCTCAAATCCCCAGTAATGTTTGGGATTTTTTCAGTTGGAGAGCAAAAATAACATCCTGACCTGCACAATCCACGGTGGCAGCAGTAGCCATAGGGCTCTAAATCCTCAGGCTCAAAAAACCACCTGTTTAGACCAGAAAAGTGGTCAACACAGGCTGTAATGACAAAGCCAGTGTATTCTGTGCTATTTTAAATACTTATTTGTCCCCTTTAGATTCAGTGTACAGCCCAAGCAGGGCTGTATCCATCAAGAAGTGAAATTATGCAGAAGGGAAAAAACCCAAAAAACCAAAACAAACAGTGTAGGGATAAACTTACCCGCATGGCCTGATCTGCTTCCAGCAAGCTTATCAAGACATAGAGGGTCAGCGATGGCCCAGAACCTGTACCGGACTAACGACACAATCAAACAACGAATTAGTTATCTACCATTGGTCACTTTTTGATGAACTAATGTCATGCTAAGATCTCTGTAGGATTATCAGTCACTCTCAACATGACAGACTCAACTTCAACTGACCCCCACCACCACCAATATACATGAACCCATTGCATCCTGTCTCTTTAACTCATCTATCTACTATTTGAGCGCTGTAGTCTCTACAAGAGGATGATGTGTCTGTGGTCAAGGCAGCCAGAATAGCAAGAAGCAGAACCTCATTTCTCCCTAGACACCCAAAGAGGAAGTGAAGAAGAAGAAATGACTACAGAGGGTAGAACAAGTAAAAGTCACAGCTGCCTACGACTGACAAAGTTCATTCACACTAGTGACTACACAGGGTAGAACAAGTAAAAGTCACAGCTGCCTACGACTGACAAAGTTCATTCACACTAGTGACTACACAGGGTAGAACAAGTAAAAGTCACAGCTGCCTACGGCTGACATAGTTCATTTACGCACAACTAACATGCTGGTGGAGAGTTTTCAAACTTTTACATTCACATTTTACGCAGATAATTATTTGTATACATTTACATTCTATGTAGGCAATATTTAGTATACATTTACATTCTATGTATGCAATATTTAGTATACATTTACATTCTATGTAGGCAATATTTAGTATACATTTACATTCTATGTAGGCAATATTTAGTATACATTTACATTCTATGTAGGCAATATTTAGTATACATTTACATTCTATGTAGGCAATATTTAGTATACATTTACATTCTATGTAGGCAATATTTAGTATACATTTACATTCTATGTAGGCAATATTTAGTATACATTTACATTCTATGTAGGCAATATTTAGTATACATTTACATTCTATGTAGGCAATATTTAGTATACATTTACATTCTATGTAGGCAATATTTAGTATACATTCACATTCTATGTAGGCAATATTTAGTATACATTCACCAGATTTTGATTCATTGAAAATGTAATCATCATCACCATGACGTATCAAGTCAATAATTGTTGTAGAAGCAAATCAGACTGTACTTATTCTTGTCATTTCAGCATTTTGAGCTCTACAGGTTCAGTGCTGCAAATTCATACCCCACCTCCTTTCATCTCTGTCAATAGCTTTCTCTTTCCAGCTGGTGACCTCAGCTGTTTGTATGTCTGCCTTTATACTAACAATATCATCAGACTGTACTAGCCATGTTCAACTGGGGCTAAGACACTTACCTGCCAGCCTTGTGGTCAGGTGTTTGGGCCCCCGTCAAGGCAGGGCTATTTTGCCACTGATCTGACCTTTCAGGGTGACCCAGCCCTAAAGTGGCGTCGGAAATTTTACTTGGAAGTAAAGGGGGTTAATAAGACAGGGAAGTCTGAAATTACTGTCAAGGAACTCCAAAATATACTTAGCAAGACCATGCAGAAATAATTTGAACTGTAAAGTGTATGCGTGGAGCCACATTAATGTAGGGACTAAACCTGGTTTGTGGATTGTAAAAAGTATGCGTGGAGCCACATTAGTGTAAGGACTAAACCCGGTCTGTGGATTGTAAAGTGTATGCGTGGAGCCACATTAGTGTAGGGACTAAACCTGGTCTGTGGATTGTAAAGTGTATACGTGGAGCCACATTAGTGTAGGGACTAAACCTGGTCTGTGGATTGTAAAGTGTATGCGTGGAGCCACATTAGTGTAAGGACTAAACCTGGTCTGTGGATTGTAAAGTGTATGCGTGGAGCCACATTAATGTAGGGACTAAACCTGGTCTGTGGATTGGAGGTCGTGGGTTTAGATCCTGATAAAGTCTGAATTTTTTTTAATGACTTTGGTTTGAAGGTTGACCCAGCCCTAAATGGGTAACAGGTAAAGTTCTGGGAAGTAAAGGTGGCCGACTAGTGTTGAACACATCACCCATCAAGCGTCGCTGGCCTATAAAATATAGGTCTAGCCCTATATGCCCAACACACCTGAAGATGTGGAAAAGGGTCCTTTAAAGTGTTTATATTTTGAGGAGTAGGTA